TTTTAACATCTCAATTCGAAGTGCTGTAAAATGAGGTGCTGCTGAGGCAAACTCTAAACTAAAAGACATGAGGGTTTTCAACCTATCTTCCTGAAGGAAAACTCAGAGGCAGAAAGAAGCAAACCATCCTTGCCTGGAAACTCTGTATTTTTCTTTTTAGCCCCTTCAAACACCTAAATGGAAGCACAGAGGGATATGTCAGCAGCATTACCAAGTCACCTGCTTGAGAGGTGCCTTGGGTGGCAAAGGGACTTTCCAGAAGCCACAGGGAGAGTAGGGAACCAGCCCAGTGCTAGGATCACCCTGGGCTCTGTGGGAACTCAGTGTGTGTGCTGTGGGAGGGCAGGAAGGCAGAGCTGGGGTGAGAAGGAGACGCTGGGGTCACTCTTGTGGTCTAGACCAGTGTAACAACTGCGATGTTCTCCTGGATGCAGCCAAGCTCTGGAGCACCCAGTACCTAAATGTGCTTGTAAGGGAAACAGAATATGTCAGCTCCTGAAGACCAATCTGATAAGATGCCAGCTTGCACAAATGCAGAGGGAATTCCATTCAGAGATAACACCTTTTGCAAAGTGGAAGGGACCATTAATGGCTATTTTTCTAAGTGAGCAGAGGAGAAGAGAGAGGGAGCCACTTGCCCCAAAGTGAATATGAAACTGGAACTCCAGTTCCTTCTGACCAGAGCAGGCCAATGGGACTTCCCTTTGTGTGGGCTGGCTCCTTACCTCAAAAGTAATTGGGGCAGCAGGATGGGGTTGGCCTCTTGTATCTCACTGCTGTCCAGTGAAACACGCAGCTTGAACCACCAGCACTCACTTGTGTTTGGAAGGAATTTGGGAGCATCCCTGGGAGCCAAGTGGTGCCTCTCTTGTGAGGCCTTGGACTCTGCTATTCCTGGCACTGAGATGTTTCTGGAGCCAGGAGGGAGAATGGCCACTCCAAGAAAAAGTCAGTTTTCTTCTCCTCCTGACAAACGGATTTGAACTGAACCAGAATTTTGAGCAAAGCTGGTAATAGCTGTGCTATTTTAATCCCTCTGTGTCTCCCTTGCCTCAGCATCAGCAGCGACGTCAAAGGCTGCTCAGGCAGGAAAGACCCTGGGTAGGTCTCTGGGAGCTGGAGCTCGGCAGAGGCACGGGAGGATTGGAATGCACAGCCCTGTCTCTGCTAATTGGCTCTGCTGCCCGGGATGGAGCACCGAGGCCTCCCCAGCCGAGCATGAACAACGCTGGGGAAGCTTCCTCCTGCAAACCTCAAACCCACAGAGGCTCGATAAATAAATAAGGTTCCGTGCTCTGCTCCCAGATGCCACTGCAGAAATCCAGAATAAGTTCAGGGGATGAATTCCAAATAGACCAGTGTCGGGGAGAGCCGGATTTAGCCTGAATGGCAGAGGAGGGAAATGAGATGCTTTTGCTCACTGCACTGAAGCGTAAACATTATTTCCCTGGTGAAGTTTTCTAGTGATCCTCTGAAATATAACAAAAGGAAGCTGTGGCTCCTCAGCAGCGCTCCTTTTTTTAGCTGCCCTTTGCTGTTTGTCCCAGCAGCAACATGAGGGGCATGGCCTGGGGGCTGGGAAAGCCAGGGGTGTCCCAGGTGGGCTGTCTGATGTCAGGGCTGCCTGTCACAGCCAGCTGAAAGCCCTACCACGACCCTGGCCTCAGCCCCTTCTGCCTAAATCTGAACTCCACCTCTGGAGGAAAAATCTCTCCTTTGCCATGAATTAGGGCAGTGCAATCCTTGATCTTTGCAATAAACAAGATCACGGGAAAATTGTACCAAAGAGAGAGATAATGTGGTTTTACTTCTTCTGGCTTCTTTTGCTTGTAACTTGTCTCCTTCCAGTTCCAAGCTGATTTTTGGGAACTCAGTTATCTTTTTCCCACAAAGGCACAGAGGTAATGTGGTTTTACTTCTTAGGACTTCTTTTTCTTGTAACTTGTCTCTCTTCTCCTTCTCCCAAAAACCAACCCTTCCAAGTTGGTTTTTGGGAACTCAGTTATCTTTTCCCACGTCCACCCCAAAATTGTGTAAAAAAACCAAACCAAACATACCAGAAAAAGCCAACTAAATAAAATTAAATGAAAGCCTTCAAAAGCAAACCAAACAAAAACCCAATGCAAAAGAGTTTCTTTGTGACCAAATTGGTGTCAGCATCTGTGGAAATGAAATATTTAGCCGAGGATTCGGTGCTTATCCTTCTGGTGTCAGCTCTAATCCAAGCTGCCGCTCAAGAAAATGAACAAACAAACAAAAAAAAGAGTGTAGCCTTTTCCCTCACGCTGCTGGTTTCAGAGATGTAAATTCAGTGCTCAGAATTCATCGTCATGAGCTGCTCTGCACACACCAGATTGTCCGGGGGAACTCGTGATGTCCCACCATGGCTCCTGCCGCTCATCTGCGCCGTCGCTTCCCTTCCCTCCCTCTCCTTCCCAAATGCCAGTGCTGACACAAACCCCAGGGGAACTCCAGCAGCTCCAGGCCCCGTGGGGCACTGAGGTTTTTGGCTGAGTTGTGTTGTTATTTGCTCTCACTGCTGAGAGGAGGGGGGCTTGGACCTCTCCAGACCCCTGCCAGGCTCCGGGCCACGCTGCCCTGACACAAACTTGATAATCCATCTCGTAAGGACTCTTTAAACTGACCTTTAAACAACCCCTCACGAAATTCTGTTTGGGGATTTGGTTTGGTTTTATTTTTGGAGGCAGTAACAACAAAAACTCAAATAGTATTTTTAGCTTTGGACACCCCAGGAGCCTCAGCAAATCCAAAAATACTCCTGAAAAAAGCTAGACAGCAGGGGGTCTGCTTTACCCATAAATGCCACAAAAATAATAACCCCAGGAGTAACCCTTTTTTTTTTTTTTTAATGCTAAAAGTGAATACATTTTTGCAGGCAAAATAGAAGTTGATGTAATAGGTTTGACCTTTCTTGCCTGGTCTTGCCCAGTGCAGGTGTTTTTTTTGTTAACATACTGATAATCTGGGACCTTCCCCCAGCAGAATTCAACCTTGGTGTGTCTCAGACATGATGTATCCTCTGCCACCAGGCTGTGAGCCAAGCTGGGGGTGCAGAAGAGCCCACCAGCTCCAGGGTTTGTCCAGTTTGGGCAAACCCTCTGTCTCGCTGCTGTTATCCCTGCTGAGGGTGCCTGGCCAGTCCTGCTGGGTTCTGGTGGGGAATCTCCTTCAATCAGCCCTCTGGTTTTCATGCCTCAGGTACTGGTGGTGGGGACCATCTATTCTGACCTCAGCACGGGGCTGCCAGCATCACTAGACCTGGTCAGTGTAGCTTTGTCTTGTGAGAAACTGATGGAACTGCAGTGGTGATGGGAAGCCAAGGGAACAGAATTATAAAATCCTGGAATTGTTAGGGCTGGAAAAAATCACCAAGCCCAGCTGTCAACCCAGAACCACCACTAAACCGTGTCCCCAAGTGCCACATCCACACATTTTTGGTGTACATGTCACCAAGGATGGTGACTCTACCACTGCCCTGGGCATGCTTTAAAACCCTTTCAGCTACAAAATTTTCCCCGACATTCAGTCTAAACCTGCCCTGGCACAACTGAGTCCTGTCATTTATAACCTGGGAGAAGAGACTGACACCCACCTCCCTACAACCTCCTTTCAGGGAGCTGCAGAGACCAGTAATGTGCTTTTCTTGCAGCTGAGGGTCTTGCACTGATTATTTACATTCTGGGGATAGATATTTTGGGGTGTGATATTTCTCTTATTCTCCAGAGTATGGTTGGACTCTTTACCTTGAGGCTGGTCTGGAGAGTGTCTTCACCTCGTTCAAATAGGCCAGTTGTCCTCGCTTGGGAAAATTCATGGGCTCCCTGGAGGGCTGCCAGCTCTCCCCTTGTCCCTCTGTGTCGGTGCTGATGCTGGGAGTCAGCGTGCTGTGTTTGCTCTTAATGACCACAGCAATGTTCCCATCACAGATAGGCCTGCACGTGTTTAAAGCAGCAAAATTAATTTCCCCTGACCCCTCTCCCCAGCCAGAAATGAAAAGTACAGCAAGATTGGAGGGAAGGTGGCACAGCTGGGTGTCCTCCCTGCTCGACTTCAGTGTGGGCAGGGCAGGGGCACGGGGGAAGGTGTACAAGAAGGGGACTGAGAGGCTGCATGACAGTGAGGAAAGGCACCAGAGCAATGGCCATGCAGCATCTCCATAAATCCACAGCAAAAATCTTCCAGTCCCCCCAGCTTGCTGGAGGCACCAGCTAAGGCTGGGCACTGCTCTGCACAGCAGGAAAGGCCTTTTGTCCCCAAACAGGGCTGTGGCACAGCTCAGGGTGCCTGCCCTGCTCCTGCTGTCCCCACCAGGAGCGGGATATCCCAGAGTCATGGGATGGTTTGGGTTGGAAGGGACCTTAAAGACCATCTCTTCCAACCCCCTGCCCTGGCAGGGACACCTTCCCCTAGCCCAGGTAACTGTTGTCACCAAGCTGGGGCTGGACCAGGGGCACTCAGTGGCCCAGCCCAGCAGTGGGGAGGTGCAGGCACAAGCCTCTGGAGCAAGGCACTCTCTCTCTGCTTTACATCTGTGCATTTGGATTTGTTTTGTGGATTATTGGTGCTGCCTTAATGCTTCATGGATCTTCAGGTGGGCAATAAGGCAGAAGTAGACCAGTTCCTTGTAGCAAATGTGCTCTCTGGTCTTCCATCAGCTTTTTCCTCTGCTATTATAAACCAAATTTAGGCTTTCCTGGATTTGAGTGCTTTGCTTTTAACCCACTCACGGCTTTCTTTTTATGTTTGATTCCTACCAGTGGGTAAAACCCACAGAGCAAATGATGGCTGCCCTCCTTCACCTTTCATTACAAGGCTGAAATTTAGCCTTAGTTTACCAAATGCTTTTGAACTAACTCAGGATAACTAAATAACTAACTTTAGGCCACAGGCCTCCAACTTTTTCATTTCCTCTGAGAGCCTAGGTTATAAGGTCCTTTGGGTTTATAAACCATGCCTTACATGCCTTACCTTACATAATCCTTGCAGAAAGCCAGAAAGGGGTTGTGAGTGTCTTGATAAATTGGTTTAAAGCAATCAGAGAGCACTTCTGTAAAACCAAAAGTAGATGTGGGACAGAGAAGGTCTTAATAAATAAACCATTTTCAAAAAATAATTTTAAAAGCCCTATATAAACATGTTCTAGACAAAAAGAACATGTTTTTTCCATAAATTTATGTCAACCCACAGCTTAAAATACACAGCATTTAAACAATCAACAGTGAAATGAAACACCCAAATCAGAAGGACAATGTTTCAGCAGCTCTTTGGTCCATTTTAAAACTCATTTTTTCATTTGAATTGCCATTTCCATTTCGAAATTTTCATCCTCATTTAGGCTGAAGAAATGCATATGAAACATTGAAACCACACCTGAACTGGAGAAAAAAAAAAAAAAAAAAAGAAACCACCAACATTTCCCTCTGCTTACAAATGGCTCATTTCCCAGGCTGTCAGCCACCCACCCAGCTCTTTGCAAAGTCCCTTTGGGCACGAGGAGTCTGCCAGGAGCTCATTTCTGCAGTCCCAGCCCTGCAAAACTCTGCTGCTGTTCCCACCGAGGCTCCATCTCTCAGTGGGATGCCCCAAGAAGTATCTGCCTGTTGGCACTGTCAGCTGCTGGAGGGCAGGAAGGCTGTGCAGAGGGATCTGGACAGGCTGGATCCATGGGCTGAGCCCAGTTGGATGAGGTTCATCCAGGCCAAGTGTCGGGTCCTGCCCCTGGGTCACAACAACCCCCTGCAGCTCCAGGCTGGGGCAGAGGGGCTGGAAAGTGCCCCTGGGGAAAGGAGCTGGGGGTGCTGGGGAACAGCCCCTGAACAGGAGCCAGTGTGTGCCCAGGGGGGCAAGGAGGCCAAGGGCACCTGGGCTGTGCCAGCAACAGAGTGGCAGCAGGACAGGGCAGTGACTGTCCCCTGTGCTGGGCACTGGTGGGGCCCCTCGAATCCTGGGTTCAGTTTTGGGCCCCTCACGACAAGAAAGACATTGAGGGGCTGGAGCAAGTCCAGAGAAGGGCAACAGAGCCTTGAGGAAAGCAAACCATGTTCTCACCACCCCCCCTGCTTTACTTAGAGAGCAGAAGGTGAACCCTCATTATAATGAGCACTGCTCAAAGTGGAAAACAGGCCAGCATAAGCTCTATCCCTGTATTTCTGCTTCCTGTAAACAGCTGACAGCCTGGGCTGTGGAAGATCATGGGCCAGATGAAGCAGCTGAGTGGGTCACTGCTCCCTACAGGGAGAGCAAACCATCTCCAGGTAGCTGCACCAGTTACCTGAACTGGCAGCTGCTTCAAGTGGACAGTGCCAGTGTGGGTGCTCACAGTCTGAGTTAAGAAGTGTTTATTTTGGAGGCGTGGGAGTTAATTGTGATGTTTTCCTCATTAGCTCAGACTAATTCGAAAAAGGAAATTAGGGCATCCTCGTGGCATTTGCCTGTGTCTAATGAAACGCACTTAAAAGCCTGGGTTTAGAGCAATTGTTGATTTTCTTTTTGGAGTTGGTTTAATTATGCTGGTTTAGGAAACAAGGTCTTTACATGTTGGATGTTCCTGTGAAAAAGTTACTCTTTGTCTAGTTATCTCACTAGACTACAAACACTTCACTGAGAATATAGAAGAAAGAACTGGAAAAGACCAAGAGCAGTAATTTAGACCCAAATCCCTCCAGAATTTATGAACGTATTTTTATCATTTATATTGTTAATCTGAATGCACTTGTCCTGTTGGGTGAGGGTGGGCAGGCCCTGGCACAGGGTGCCCAGAGAAGCTGTGGCTGCCCCATCCCTGGAAGTGTCCAAGACCAGGCTGGACGGGGCTTGGAGCAACCTGGGCTGGTGGAAGGTGTCCCTGCCCATGAAAGGATGTTGGAACAAGATGAGCTTTAAGGTCCCTTCCAACCCAAACCATTCTGTGATTCTCTGATTCCATGAAGTCAGCCCAAAACAGCACAGGGGAAAGGCACCCAAGCTGCATTGGGACACTTCAGGGTGATACTCACCTGAGCTTGCCAGGGAGTCCTCAGCTTGGGTGCAGCCCCCAGAGGACACAGGGGCAGGTCCCATGGGTGGTTGTCTCTCCTGGGATTTTGGGGCTCTGGTTTCAGCCCCGCCCAAAGCTCAGAATCAGACAGGCATCCATGAACGTATTGAGTAGCAGGCATGTGAAGACAGCAAGTTAATTCAATTGTATTACAGCTCAGGCAGATTTAGATCTCTACAAAGTCTGGCACTCATTCCTATTTTTCACCTAAAGTGTTCTCTTCAATCTTAAAAATGGCTTTGATGTGCGCTGAGTTCCGGAGAGGCTGTGATCAATTTGTTAGAATGAGTTTATTAAAGAAGAGAATCCTCGGAAGAAGAAATTGGGAACATGGCACCTGTAATTATCTCCATCAATTGAGATGGATTCTGAAAACCTGAGCTTCCTCTCCCCGGCTCTGCTGCAGCTCTGGTATTTCATGGACACGCCGTGTCTCTGAACTGTGCTGGTCGATCTGCTTTTCTCCCCTGAGCCCTGGGAGATTCCTTCCTCTCCCCTCCCCACAGGGCCATGAAGGATCAAAACAAATATGCCAAATTGCTTAAAAATTTTCCTTTTTGCAGTAGACCCGACCTGTGTGCAAGTTTAGGTCAAATTCCACCAAGAGTTTCAGCCAAAAGCCTGCAGGATGTGTTGAAACGTTTTTGTTGAAACACTTTTGTTTTGACATCAAGCTGAAATGTTTTGAAATGGACAATTCTAAAATTTTGAAATGGATGCAAATTTTGTTTATCCTAACATTAAAAACCAGACTAGACAACAAATGACATTTTTCTCTTCCTGTTGAAGAAACCACTTAGGCCTGACTTTGTTTTGACAAAATGGTTGACCCAAATTTCCTCTGATTTCTTTGGGTTCAGCCACTCACATGAAAAATAGTCTGTTCAACCAGCTGTAATTCACACATCTCTTCCACTTTCTTGTCTTCTGCCCTGGCTTTCCTCCTGCATGGTCTGTTTGCCTCCTTCCCCCATCCAGTTTGGTGCCAGCCCTCACCAAACCCCCTCTGTCTGTGAGGCACCCCCTTCTCTCAAGGCTGTTTCCCTTAATTGTTTGGCATAATTCCCTTATTATTCAGCACCACAAATGTATGTACACATAATAGGAATGAATAATGGATGCTAATAATGCATAATTAATTCATGATAAGTGTCTGTTACAAAGTCAGCATCAGAAGTGGGATCACCACAGGGAAATTCCCCATCCCCCTCTCAGGCTCCCAGTAAGGAGAGAGGAAAGGCCTGGGCTCAGTGCCTCCCACACTGGGGATGGGGGGTCTGAGGGAGGAGGAGAGACTGTCGTTGGGCACTCAGAGCAGAGGGAAGGATGAAAACTGCGGTGCCAGGAGCTGGCAGTGCAGTTCCTCCCACACAGACCTGTGTGAAGCTGGGATGGGGATCAGTTCCTCCCCTACCTGCTCCTCATCCTTCCCAGCCTAGGGCAGGACATAAGATCAACACCAGCTGTTGTCCAAACTCCTGCTGCTGTCAGGGAAGACCTGGGCAGAGCCTCCTCCCTCCTGCTTAATCGCATTTGTTCCCCTTGTCACCATCAGGGAGATTGGCACTTGCTCCTGACAGCTTTGATCTTCCCAACTGTGCTGTGGGAAGCCTGGCAGGGCCAGGGTTGCCTGCTGAGGACCATTAAAGCCACTTGTTAATGTACCTCATGTCCACTGCTGCAGCCAGGCTTGCAAGGATCAGGGACCAATAACAGCTTGGAATGTCCTCACAACAGACCAGTGGTGCCAGTGCTGAGCACCCATACAAAGGCTTGGCTGACTTGTTCAGTAGCTTCTCTGCTGTTCACCTTCCCCTGACCCTGCTTCCCACATGTCCCTGTTTCCAGTTTGGCTGATGCCAAAACTTACAAGCCACTGCAATGCTGCTGTTCTCCATTGCTGTTCCTTCTGCTCCTCCTTCGTGTTTGGCTCTGCACCACTCTCCACTTGTCATCACTGACAGTGGAGCAGCTGCTCTCAGCCAAAGCCTTACTTAAGGGGAAAAAAGTTTAAACTGCTCCCAGAGAGACTCTTCTGAAGTTTGGCTGAAAGAAAGTTTCTTCAACCAAGTCTTCAAACACTGCAGTAACCAGGGAGGCCTTGCATGATGCAGAGGGAGAGGCAGAAAGTGCAAGAAAACCCCTGCAAGAGGGATCTGACCCTGAGTTATGCTGAGGACCTTGTCTGTGTGGGACCATCCTTGCCAGTAGGGATGGGAATGGTGAGGGACAGAGCTGGGCTGTGAAGATGCTGGACCCAGGGACAAACACCCCTCCTGTGGAACTGCAAATGCATCTCCTCCTGACCCAACTGAGCATCCAACTGAGCACTTGCATCTTGCAGAGCATGGCTGTTCTCCCTTCCCTCTGCCATGAGACAATGAGCAAGATCTGACTCTTCCTTCCCCAGGTATTCTGGGACACTTATCCTCTCTCCAGACCCCAGGGCTACACTGCCTGGCAGAGCAAGAGCCATTTATCCCCTATCCCTGTGTCTCCTTGCCATGGTGATGTGGAACAGCACCAGCACACAAAAGGTCAGCTTTCCCTTCCAAGCAATTCAAGGCATTTATGCTGTATCAAAAGCAGAAGAAGCTCATGATTCTGCACCACATAAAAACATGGTAAAGCTGCAAAAAATGTGTTTGACAAATCCATCAAGTTACATCAACAGAGAGCCTGGTGTTTCTGGATTTCTCCATGCATGCTATTGAAAGCAGTAGGAGTTTGCCAGAGGCTCTCACCAGAGCTGAGCTGCACCTTGGAAATGCAGTTTTCCACCAGCTAATCTTGTGCTCACAGCCAAACACATGAGCTGTGGGGTCTTATCCCCCCCATCTTTTTGAGGTCAGTACAAGGGCTGTGCAAGGGGCAGTAGAAAGTGTGGTTTGTATTCCCCACCTGCCAGGTGACTTCTTTCTCTAATTTCTAGATTTGCCTGCTGCAAACTGCCAACACATCCTGGTTTTCAGCCTTTGCTGTTTATCCAGTGACAGTCTGAGCATGGAGAT